TTTAAAAAACTTATTATTATATCACCGTTACACCCCAAGGACGACTGAGTTCGAATTGCGTGAAAATCGGACCAAAAATGACAGACAAAATGGCCGCCCTTCGTTCTCAAATAGCGTAAAAATATGGTATATCAAGGTTGTGGACCCTATAGAGGTCACAATTTTCATCCGATTTTGTTGAAACTTGAAATGTAAGTTTATAACTCAAAGATCTCAGTTCCTTTCAAGATTTGCGCATATCGGACCATAACTTCCTGAATTATGCCCCCTGATTATACGAAAAATCGCGTTTTTATCTTGTGGACCCTATAGAGGTCATAATTTTTATCTGATTTAAAAAACCGTATTATTATATCACCGTTAAACCCTAAGAACGGCTGAGTTCGAATTTCGTGAAAATCGGCCCAAAACTGACAGACAAAATGGCCGCCTTTCGTTCTCAAATAGCGTAAAAATATGGTATATCAAGGTTGTGGACCCTATAGAGGTCACAATTGTTATTCGATTTTGTTGAAACTTGAAATGTAAGTTGATAACCCAAAGATCTCAGTTCCTTTCGATATTCGTGCATATCAGACCGTAACGTCCTGAATTATGGCCCCTGATTGTACGAAAAGTCGCGTTTTTAGCTTGTGGACCCTATAGAGGTCATAATGTTTATCCTATTTAAAAAAACGTATTATTATATCACCGTTACACCCTAAGGACGGCTAAGATCGAATTTCGTGAAAATAGGCCCAAAACTGACAGACAAAATGGCCGCCCCTCGTTCTCAAATAGCTTTAAAATATGGTATATCAAGGTTGTGGACCCTATAGAGGTCACAATTTTTATCCAATTTGTTGAAACTTGAAATGTAAGTTTATAACCCAAAGATTTCGGTTCCTTTTGATATTTGCGCATATCGAATTGTAGTTTCCTGAATTATGGCCCTTGATTGTAGGAAAAATCACTTTCTTTTTAGCTTGTTCTCTATCCATCTCTCGAAAATGTGGGCGTATTCTGCCTGGCAGCCGCTGGTTGTACCTTAGCATGGCATATATCTGTTACATTCAAACTATCAAACCAGATATTTGGCCAAACACCTAGGCATTTGGTCAAATGCCTTAATTAGCTTTTAGCCAAAATCTACCCGTCACCCATCTGTAGGTAATCTCTAGATAACTCGTAGATTAAAATCAGTCATTGACGTCATAACCTGGTTACCCAAATGTGGTAATGGTCTGCCCTAATAGCTGACGTATCTTAATGTTTTATATAAGTTAAAGGGCGCAATTAAATTTGTCTCCGATATCATACGGCGTTCCTTGAAGGACGTCCAACCACCTCGGATTAGAAGCCGGGATAGACATCATGCGGGGTTCTTAGAAAGCATAGACACAGCCTTCTCGGCTTAGAGGCTGGGATAAATACAACATGCAGTGGTCCTAGAGATCCTCACCTTTAGGCGCCTCGGCTTAGAGGTCGGGGTGATCTTCATGTAAACATGGAAAGAAGAGCTTAACTCTCGCTACAAAACACAGGCTAAGTGGTAGGAAACTTATATCTAGCTTATATTTAATGCCATGTATGTAGTTTCCTGTATATAACCTTTGTATTATGGATATTATAAAGACATATAAACATAGTTATAACAACACGGTGTTCCAGAGTTAATTGATCATGGAGTGAAAAAAATACACAACGTGAATTTCGAGACAAAGGAAAGTAGTGAAACAACATAAGTGTGACCATAGTATCACATCGATCCTTTTGAAAGCCGCGACCAGGAAAGTGTTACTACATAAGTGATTTGGCCTTTTTCTAACATGTATAAATTTAAACCCGGACGTTAAATAACGCTATCTCACACATTCATCACGTATGATTTAATTACGACAAAAGAAGAATATTATCCGCCCTCTCTTCTTACGACATGGAATTTTAACATGTTTTAAAGTGAGTTTTAGATACAGATAAATTTGTGGGGTTATGGGTTATCACATTTTATTTATTACTCCTTCACATCTTAAATGAGAATGACATTGCAAAAAAGTTGAATAATAGCATATTGCCGGCCCCATGAAATTCTAAGTCATTCTGAATGTTATTTCAAAGGAAAAACGTACCAAAAAAAAAAACCTAATTGGTATTTATGCATATCTGCAGCCTCGGTTTTTTTGCAATTAGTGACATCAAACACGACATGGGTTTTGAATACCACTATTGAAACTAGGCAGTGAACCCGTCATTTTGATTAACTGGAAAATATAGACATGGTCATTTGCGTTGCTTGGAGATCTATCACTACTACCAACACTAAATAGCGAAGAACGTGTCATTTTTTAAAAACTTTCTAAGAGAGGCAACACGCAGAAACGTCTGGACACAGCGATGTCAACAGGTCTCCATTTAACCATGCTTCTATCTGGTCGGGACATTTCAAGTCATCATTCTATACCATCTGCTTACGAACGTGATCCTGCTCGATTGAAGGAATATGTCGATCAAGTTATGACTGTTTACATGTTGTAATCCAGTAAAATTAATTCTTCGCTGGAATGTCGTTCTACACATTTACAGCAGATGATCAAGTCTACATTGTCCACATCATCACGACTGCAAATCAAGTGACTCTAGGGTTTGGCTAATCTGGATGGTATATAGATATAAAAGGTTTTCACATGGCCAACTGCAGATTTCGTCGTAGGTCACGAGATGTAATCAGGGTTAGCGCTGTTAAAACTATCGCTATTAGGAAACTTGTTTGTAAAATAGTTGTTGTCTTCAGTTTTTGCTTTACTTGACTAACAATTAAAGCACTGGCGGAAATCCAAAATTGTTAGTGCGGTAAGAAAACACTACACTAGCCTAAGGTGACGAACAATTACAGACGAAACAGGATATAGACCATCCTGGCAGCGTGACGATTTTCCAGGGAGGAGGGTGGGCAAGAAACAATGGATACGGTAATTGAATTAGTCCCATGGCATGACTTGGCATATCTATTTTGGATATTCCACGGATCTAATGACACAATTATTTAAGAAAGGGTTCTGCGCAAAGTCAACGAATTCTGTAAACAGTCACTCGAGAATCTGGGGTTTTACACGAGGCAGACTATGGCTAATATGAAAAAGATATTACAAGAAAAATGTTCTTGTATCCAATAATTAAATCTGTTATATGGAAATATATTATGTAATTGAATAAACATAAAACATTGTTACAGCAGCTTCTAGTTGCTGTTTGTATATAATACATAGCATTGCTAATTATATTGCGAATTCCAGTTCATATTACGATAATGAGGGAGTGGTGATATAATGCGAGAGGGAGAGAGAGAGAGAGGGTATACACTTGTGATTGAATCCATGACTTGTTTAGATAAAATGCGTACACTTTAGACCTCTAGTCTAGCCTCGCACATCAGGTAGCCTATAAGATCGTCGTCGAGAGTCTGAACATCCAACATTAGATTTAGCCATGTAGAATATCGTCATTTTATAGAAGAGGCCGAATCGATGAAACCGAAAAATTAAGAATTCTCATAGGACTGCATTTTGTGACACAAGCAATTATGTAATTATAAAATGAGGTCGGAAATAAAACTTACAAAGTTGAGTAATAGATCAATGTAATTGTCAAATTGCCAGCTCTTGTGACGTTACTGACCAATAACATAAACACCTTCAATAGTAGGGTGCCCCATGCAGCGAATGTGCTCGGTTCAGTGGCTTGTCTCGAAGGGATTTCGGGCTAGTCACGTGGTGCGATAACACTCAGCGCAAGCGTTTATGAGTCTATAAATAGTCATCGCACGTGAAATTCTCTACACATCTATTAACTATTACAGTCGTAAAAATCTGTGGTTGACGATTCTGAATAGCAGTAATATTTAGCTTTTTGGTTATTGCAGTAGCTTTAGAAATTACGTTCGTTAAATTGCTTTATCATTGACTATATCGTTAGGAGTACAAATAATATCTTTGAAACACTCGGGTTAGGAAAGAACATGATACTATAGCAATAGTTTCATTTTACTTGAGTTCCTTAGCATGCGTGTTTCTAAATTCAATTTCTTGTTCCAGCTTTCTGTTATGTTGCGTAAAAAAAATAGTCTTGGTTATCCCGGCTGCTCAATCGACGGAGAATGATCGGTAGACTGGTTAAGCGAGACTAATTTCAAAACAAGAGCACGTAACCTATTTATTTCTCAAAGTACCCGGATGAAATGGCCGACACTCGTAACCATTTTCAGTCTATTTTTTATCGAGGGTTAAATGGTCATAGTTTATTATTAAGTACAACATGACCGATTATTTAGTGACTATAAATTTGCGAAACTGATTTAAGGCTTGCGGTATATATAAATATTGTGGTGTAATTGTCGAGATATTTGGAGATATTTATTTATGGTGGGGCACCCTATCAATAGACCCTTAAAGCAACTTGGATTTAAACGGCAAACAAATACATTTTGACTAGAAATACACTTATAGAAATATTTAATAGTGATTAAGAGTAAAAAAAATTTCAAAGTAAACAGGTTTTGTTTCTTTTATCGGTTTTGACTATTTTAAAATTTTCAATCGAAGATATAAAATTACAAACTACAACTTATTGCAAAATGGCTTCGTTCAACAATTCTTAAGAGTTTATTAACAAAGCTGGTAACATATGGTAGCAAAATCGATTGGGATATTTTGTTCAATATCGCACGTACAACATTTACTCATATATGCAAATAAGCTCATAGATATTTCTGTACGGGGTAATAGTAAAATTACTATGCAAATTTGCACACACATACAACTCCGTTGCCATGATACCATTTTCACGTGTTTTTATAATTAGTACACACCTTTGTAAAATTGTAGTATTTACGTCTCATTAATATGTCCCTATTTCATTCCTCTCATTGACTGTGGTGATACGAGTAAATATTTACTGCGGATCAGTTTAAAAATCTGACGTATATGGGTTTTTCCATGCTATATTATATATTTAGTAATATTAATCTAGGAGTAAAGAAGATAGAAATACAGAATCCACCATTCTCCTATCAGATATATATCCATATCGATTCAACTCACAGGTATGTACATGCGAGTACAACGTTAAGTTACCTTTACCTTGTAACCAAAGTTTTTTTTTAATTTATATCGACTCATTGTGACCCCAATATTCACCTAATGAAAATCTATCGAAATCAGTTTTCTCCTACTTAACATAAATACAAAATGGCGACCAACATTCCGGTAAATGTTAAATTATCTCGAAAACCGAGCCAGATTATTAGGCACTACAAATGTAATACATTTTTAATCCCTGAACCGCATAATGTAATGCTATTGGTGCCTATCTGGTATTCGAGAGCAGATAAACCCTACAAATGTATTATACTTGTATATAAAATAAATGAAATGGGGTTTATGTGCACGCCAACGTGTACGCGGGACCTCGGTTTTTCGTCCCATCCGAACGATTAGACAACTGTCCTTGTCAGGCCCCCGTCCTGCACCACTGACAAGGGCGTACCACGCCGGGAAATCCCGATGAATTTTTCTCGGCCTACACCGGGATAGAACCCGCCAATTTTGTAAGCTTCCCGTTGCTCTATGGGCATCATTCTTGGAAGCAAGCGGGGCATTTACATAGCCGAGAAAGTGTTTGCCGATTCATAGTTGATTTCGGATACTTCTAAGCGACCATGGCACAATTTTTGTCACTGCAAGGCCGCGCAATGCGTTGTAGCAGGGCGTGCCATTTCGGGGCGGGGGGCAGGGTAGGGTGTTCCAGGTGGATTCGGGACATTCGTGAACGTTGAGTGTCAAAGAATCAAATAGGAAGCTGTAACGGAGGATACGAAAGAGTTACAACGGGTTTACCCGCCACGAAAGCTTTTGACAAACAGAAACTTCGTGGACGTGCTATAAACTACTGCCAACAATAAGAATGTGCATGAACCAAATAAGAAACAATAACGAACTTCAAAAACCGTCTACGATTTATGTACATCTTCATCAGCTCTGATATTGGTTAATGGATGAAGATCATGATTATTATCAACAAAATGTTGTTCATTTATTTCAGGTTTGATCGTCATTCGAGGAAATCGTCAAGATGGACCAATCGGAAGATCTAAACCAAATGAACATAGCAAATCATCGTTTTTTGTTTCGTAAAAAAAGCATAACTTTAGATTGGAAATGGGACATTTGTCGTGCGTTCATTCTACTGTTTTTTATTATTATTATACTTTTTCCCCTCTTTAGTCTATTGGTTCTTTGCCCTGATTGTTTCAAAGACAGCATGGTTGAGGTTGAAGCTTGGTCTAGATCAGACGTAAGGGCCTTTAAAGGCGGTAACATAGATTTGTCTTTTAACTTTATCATTAAGGATTTTAAAGAGTGTTCCTGGTTTAAAGAAACAGGAATTCCTATCACAGGAGATCATCGACACAAAATAACGACATCTAGTATTAATTTATATATATATACGTCAACACTGCATATATCGACCATAGACAAACACGATTTAGGTCATTACCAGTGTATGTGTCGTGGTGGAAATACACAAACCATAACAACGTATTTTATTGTTCGATTTGCGGCAGCAGAGACAGTCAGCAGCGTGGTGGCTATAGGTGGATTTCTAACCTTCTTGCTGCCTGGTATTTCTCACAGGGAATCTTTGGACATTTATTATACAATAGATAACAAACTGCCTTCGGAAAAATTTAATATATTCAGATGTTCGTGGATTTTATATCCCTTGATTGTATGGCAGCAGAAAACATTTTCTTTGACTTTTGATAAGATAATAGATCACTCAGACAAAATGTTGGAGATGAACATATGTCCCAGTCCAGATGGATACGGAACTTACAAGTTTTTTATACGTCGACAAATTTTTAACAAGGCGTTGAATAAATCAGAGACAAAGGAGTTTGAATATCCTACCGTGTTTAAAGTCTTGGCTGATAAATCACAGCTATATGATAACAGATTCTTTACTGTTTCGACAATTAATAATGGTCCCCTGGAATTGAATGAATCTACTGCTGGACACATTCTAGCAGAGACCAGACCTTTCGTTGTTCTTAGTGTCGTTGTTAGCATTCTCTTTTATTTATTTTTATATTACCGGGCAGAAACTATCACGAATGATTATGTCACGGATCTGTTAAATCGTCGGCTTGAAAAAAGATTTTCAAAATTTCAAAAGAAATTATTAGTTTTTTTTAACATCTCCAGCATTATGTTACGGATCGAAACCGATATACATGTAATGTTCAAATACCGTTCTGGGTTTAAACGAGATATTATTCTTATGATCATATTCATATTAAACAGATATTTCAAAATATTAGGATATCTAGGCCTAGGTTATATTGATTTGTTAACCGATTTTATACTTAGTTTGTCTGAAACAATATTATTTTTTAAAATCTTATTATTTAACAAGGTAATGATTTATACATATGGTGATCGTGTTTTAGATGACAATATGAGATCGGGAGCCTTGTGTGGAATTCCTCCCATGGATCAATTTGTTAAACTTTATGATGTTTATTTATCTTATTCTGATCGAGATATTATATTCGTTAAAGACGAAATTCTTCCTATTTTAAAGGAAAGAGGGTGACGTGTGTTTTTTAAACATCAGGATATATTGCCCGGAAGGTCAGTTTTAACTGAAAGTGAAAATGCGATTTGTTCGAGCAAGGCATTTATCGCAGTGGCTACTGACAACTATCTAAACGATTTCTGTCTAAATAACTCTGAATTAACGCCTATAAGAGATGTCGTGAACGAATCTGGTATTCCAAATACTAATTTGTTAGTTTTGATTTCACCGACTGGTGTTTGGAATAAGTATATGGTTGATAAATATCCGAAAATTATTCTAAACAATGATAGAGTTTTAAGTTTGGAAGAAAAATATAAAATTGACTTATGGCTAAAACACATTAGTACTAAATGTTGGTTCCTCAAAACTGTTGCAGTCCGATCCTTAATTTAAATCCGTCAGCTTTTCGAGTATAGAAGTCGTGGAGCAAGCTTTATTTTGTAGGTTTTGATGTTTGATGACACAAAACCAATGCTGACATTTTTTTCTGAGTATTTCGTCATAGTATGGGACGCCATTATTTGAAAGATAGCCATTTTGCCGTAATATTCCAACTTGTATATTATTTTTAACTTATTTATAACTGTATTTCCATACCCATTTATTTATTATCTTGTTTATAATCATTTATAGCTATGTTGTCATGCATTATTGATAGGTATTAAATTATGTCTTATATATTAATTTTAACATATAGATATGGGGTAATATAGGACTAGTCTTTTCCTCAGTCAGCTTTCAGTGAATAACATACTGTTTATAAAAAAACATCGATTGTAAATATATATTATGGATATATCTTTGAGGAATAAATTATATTTAAAATAAAAACAACCCCAAATCCGAAAGCTTCTTTGCGCAACCTGTTTTGGTGTCTTACTTGAAAGTGATTCTTATGATGACAGTGACATTGTATTCTGAATATATTATTCGACTATATCTTATTCAGATTAAGATATTTCACGGTAGAGATATATTAAAAGAGACATACTAAGTGACGAACGTGGGAGGTGTTCGTGTTATAAGAGGACATTTCCTATCGATAATCAGCATTCATCGACATTCCCTTCCGGAGTTATCCCATTGCCAACACTCCCCGTGAGTACTATACAGGCTTCCATTTTTAACGGTTTATGTCAAATTGTTTTTGAGGGCATACTTTCGATAAGATAATTTTTAACTGTTTATTCTGCTTCATTTAATAAAATCTAAATGTTTCTTTGTGTCTATGAAAGAAGTAAAAGGGGCTAGAACCACATTACAAAATAGTATACATATGGCGGTCATTCAAGGCAGAGATCTATACCCAAAGTAGATAGATTACTGGGTGCAGAATGTGTTTCCCAGCTGATGAGCTGTGTTCGAGCACGTTCCTTTTTTTACAATTGCCATATTGATTTGAGGGGATCCTATTGTACGCCGATACTGTGGTCATTTCAGGCTAAACATAATGTATTTCTTTCTTTTAATGAATGTTGAAAACGGTCCCCACCCAATGAGCAGGGGCCTCCAGAAAACAAGAGTTATGCTACGGGATGTGAAATGAAACTAAATAAGATGAATTATAACACATGACACAATTATATGGAATACAAGTTACTTGAAGGATTTATTTTAGCGACGTTTTGACGAGGGTTCTCCCATCTTGATAAGAATTGGCCCTGGCACTGCAAGAGGAGTGGGTCAGATTGCCCAAATCGTGATTGGACGGTTGATTAGGAGCATGCCACGACGAATTGCTGAATGTCTGAGGATTGGTGGAGCAATTACTCATTATTAAGACAAAACTCAAAAACGTCCATTTGCACTTTTGACAGTGTATCTCTTTGCGAGTGGGGGGTGGATGGCCGAATGGTTAGCACGCGCGCGCTGTATCATACGGTCTGTCATGGGTCAACTGGCGTGGTTTCGATTGCCTGTCCAGCCTCGTGGATTTTCTCCGGGTTCTCCGGTTTCCTCCCACTGCTAAGACTTAAGAAGGAATTGGATAATTATCTACCATTTTGAAGCTGAACATGCCAAAACAAGCGCTATGGATTGATTAAGGGGCAGTTGAACATAAACATCCGGATTGGCATGCATGCACATTATAAACGCGAGAAAAAACGCCCATCAATACCCGGGATTCTCGAAACAGGGGCATCCTTTATTCTGCCGATTACCGTTGGTGTAGGTTTCCCATCTATCGTGAAAAATCCCCGTCCACTTGTTGGGTTTCAATTAAACATCTGATTATACCTCTATTAGTAAGTGCAGGGGGGGGGGGCGGCACCACACAAAATTTACACAAAAACAAATACCCGGACAAGACATCATACTCAGAAAAACACAAACAGACAAACAATTCAAAAAAAGTGAATGGATCCGGGGGCTAGCCGTAAGCGTCAACTGCGCTGTACAGTCCCGGGTCTGTAGTGACACAGACTTCACTCAAATTTGAAAACAATAAGGAATGCAACCCAAAGAAACTATTGTATCACGTAAACTACAGAGAAATAAATAGCAAGCACAGATGTGATATAAATTAATGGTTGGGGCGGGGCCGAATGGTTTAACGCGTGTGCATTGTGTCATAAGTCTGTCACTAAGTTAAATGACATGGGTTCGATCGCGTGTTCGATCCCTGCATTTGCCAAAAGTTCATCAGGATTTTCCGACGTGGTTTACCCTTGTCAGTGCTGCATGACTGAGCGCCTGATACGGACAGCTGTTTAGTCGTTCGGATGGAACGAACAACCGAGGTCGCGTATATACATTGGCATGCACGTAAAAGATCCCTTGTCAGTTGGAATTCCCGGGCAAAATTTCCCTCATAGCACCATGTCCGTCTTCATTAGCCCAGCATAGGAGCAGAACAGTAATATATTTCATTACATTGTATCTGAAATGAGTTGATTCTGTTTAATGGATGTGTGCCGCGGTGACTCAGCGAGTTAGACGTTGGCTATAACTAACCAGGAGATCCGGGGTTCAATCCCGATGTTGGGCGAGAACGCCCCCGGGTTGCCCGGACAACAGTTGAGCGAGAGAGAGAGAGAGAGAGAGGGGGGTATGGACAACTGGACACAAACTAGGTCATTTCAGGACTAACATATGGTTTAATTTTATTTCAATAATTCGCTTCCGCGTAGGGGTCTTTAGCAGTGGGAGGACCCAGAGAAAACCAACGAGGTTGGACAGTCGACCCTACTCCTTGTCAACGGGACAACAGTTGAGACATGCTATCCGAACAAAATGTTCCTCACAGCACACTGTATGTCCATCTTCATTAACCCGATCGGTGTAGAACAGTAGGACGTTAAACTCCGTTTTATTTCCATTATATGACAAATGAAATGAAATGAAATGGGGTGTAACGTCCTACTATCCAGCATAAAGAAAGTCAAAAGTCCCTTGTACATATTGCCGCTCTACGGAAGCCCCAATATGGCAACATAGAACGGACTATATGGAAAATAAGCGTAACCATTTACTGACGTAGAAATAACCAGTAGCAACGCAACTGTGAAACGTGTCCATGTTTGATGTCATTGTTATAATACATTATCACTGATTAACCAAATCGAGGTGAAAGACAGTTTACTTTAATAAATGCGTCTTTTGTGTAGCTCCCGGTGTTGGCCGAGAAGTTCATCGGGATTTGGGTTTCCCTTGTCAGTGGTGCCGGATGGAGGACCTGATAAGTACAGCTGTATAGTCGTTCGGATGGGGAAAAGCCAAGGGGAACCATGCCGGAAAATCCCGATAAACTTTCTCGGTCAACGCCGGGATCGAATACGGGGCATCCAGACTAGCGAGCCAACGCCCCACTAACTAAACCACCGTCGCCCCCACCTACATGGTAATAATGTCTTAAAATCGAGGAGACACATTATGGTACATTTGATTTCCTACATGGTAATTTCTCAAAAACTAGACAAATTATGGTAAATTCATCTCCTACAAGATAATATCTAAAAAACAACGGCGTTTCCTCTTACTCTTCGACGAATTCCAACTGCTGGGGATCTTTTAAGTGCACGCCAATCTGTATACGAAACCTCGGTTTTTCATCGCACCCAAACGACTATCCGCTTTTCCTTCAGCAGGTATAATACTGTGTATTTTACTCTCTTCAAACGAGACGTGGTAATCTTTAAAATAATTTAGAGCTTCTGATAAACCAATGGGAGAACATTCTCGATCAAGGACACTCCATTTCCGAGGTAAACACACTGATGGCCATTATCGTAGGGCATTCTTCAAACTCTCAATGAACTGTTTCCGGTATTTGTCGTCAAAGTAGATTTTTTATGCGTGAACGTTATGCATAGAATATTTGGTTGTATATTATGGTAAATTGACCGCCTACAATGGTAATATCTCAAAATCGGACAATTTATAGTAAATTCATCTCTTCTATGGTAATTTCTAACAATCGAGACAAAATTACAGTAAATTGATTTCCTACAACGTAATGTCTAAAAATGGAGCAAATTTACCAAAAAATGACTTCCGAAATGGGATTATCTGAAAATCGAGACAATTTACAGTAAATTGACTTCCTACTTGGTAATATCTCAAAATGGCGACAAATTATCATAAATTGATTTCTTGCAGGGGATTATCTTAAAATTATGAACAGGACCAAATGTACTAGAGAAATTCTAGTCATGTTCTTGAAACATTTAATCATTTGAATTAACACGTGTTTACACTTAATATGCTTATATTTATTTCATCAAGAACAGTGGCGGTTATTTATGTTATTGGTCCCAGGAGTTATTGGTATTGTTTGGCATTATATAGAAATAATATTGGATATTTAATGTTACATTGGTTATGCTATTCATGTTAAATCATGTGACTGGAACTGGAAAGTGTGGAAATTACAACAACAAGACACAAAGCTAGGGGTCACGTACTATTACACTGCTAGAAGCCGCGTACTATTACACTGCTAGAAGCTGCGTGCTATTGAACTTTTATAAGAGTAATAGCCCACGGTCTCTCTAAATTTGGCTCGGTTATAAACACATTAATTTCCTTAATAAGTCAGGGACTAATTTATATAACAGTTATTACATCTCTCATTTGTTACTTTTATTAATTTCAAATATCGTCATCCTGAACAAGTAGGCTCGTCGTTTGTACTACTCCCGTTTTCCATTTGACCAGATAGTTATCCAGGTATTAAAGTTGCAATTTCATATTTTTGCGTTATATTTTTAAAATTTATTAAAATAAAGCCTTAAAATAGTTGGTATCTATAAACAGTCCTACCTTGTTAAAGAATAATCCTATTAATCCTATAATTCACTATTGCCAGTTGAGAAATTGGCAAAAATATCATTTTCCTCTTAAAATTCAAACGTTTGCAGTTAGCCACTCCATGGTGGAGAATAGAAAACAAGGGAGGTAATTGGGAGGTAACTGTGTTATTATTTCCGGTGTAAATGAGTTTTAAGTGTGAGAATGACACCTATGATCGTATAATAGTGAGTTGACAACCTATTGAGCAAAAGACATAGAAATAATTGTGTTTTGACTTTCTTAGAAAATATGAAATTGTAACTTTAAATGAATTAAGTGAACTGTGTATCACGAAAGAAGATGGGAAATAGAGCTGGGTATCAGTGTTTTAAAACGAGCACAGAGCTGGGAGTTGAAAACAAAACGCTTTTCACATTGTGTTAAATCAACCATCAAGTAGAATTTCTTGTTTTCATCGGCTCATTAATCACTGATGTAGAAACCATCAATCATTCATCTAAATATTGATCATCCTTATAGTCCAGAAGCTCAGTGCGGAGGGGTGTCCATCAAATGGGCACAAAACCAGACCCAACTTTTGTATAGTAAACTTTCGCGTAGAATACGATGCCGAGTGGTAACCAGTCCGCCGTTGGGGCGTTTTCGAGATATTCGGGGTCAAAGGTCAAATGAGTTCATTTGCACTGAAAGTGAATGCGCAGCCATTCTTGTATCATGAAAATAAGCTGAAAATGATCGAAAGTAATCACCCTTTCAATAAAAATGTAAACTTGCTAAATTCAACTTTGTTCTTTGTGACCCCGGAGGTAAAAAGGTGAAATTTTCCTTTTTAGCACTAGGAAGATTTAAAGCAATAAATGTCAGCGTAA